CTGGCAAAGAAAAGGCTCCGTTTTCCCGTTTTCCTGAGGTTTTCCTCCCAGTCCTTAAGAATTTAAATTCGTAACTAGAAAAGAGCATTTTATTGAATTAGGTTGAATTAGGTTTGAGGTCTCTCAAAATCCTGGCTCCCCTCTCTCTGATATCAGTGGCACTGTGGCCTCCAGGTCAGAGAATTTTATATAACTCTCTCCTCACCCTACACTGGCTACAACCCCTTCACTGAGATCTCTTTCACAAGGATCTTCCCCTCCCTCACTGGACATCAAAATGCAAATACAAAACCAAAATGCCTAACCTGGAGCATTGCAGAGCATCCTAAGTTACTATTTTGTTAAAAACCTTTCCCTAGTCAGCAAGGGAAGGCAAGAGGGGTTAAGAAACCAGATTTCTGAGCCCCATGATTAAATCAGGATTTCATTTCATAGAATCATTCAGGCTGGAAAAGACCTCTGAGACCATCAAGTCCAAACTTTGACTGATCCCCATCTTGTCAACTAGACCAGAGCACTCAGTGCCATGGGCAGGGACACCTTCCACCAGCCCAGGTCATTCCAAGCCCTGTCCAACCTGGCCTTGGACACTTCCAGGGATCCAGGGGCAGCCACAGCTTCTCTGGGCAACCTGTGCCAGGGCCTCCCCACCCTCACAGGGGAGAATTCCTTCCCAATATCCCATCTAACTCTGCCCTCTGGCAGCAAGAAGCCATTCCCCCTCTTCCTGGAATCCCAGGCCCTTCTCACAAGGACATCAATGTGTTTCCAAAATCATTTTTCGTGCAGAACAGGTTTTTTAAAAAGTTTGTCGATTGTGGATTTTCAGGTGATTTCAAGTTTATGAAAAAAGATATAAAAAACCTGGCAAACATTCATAAATGGGAATATTGATTTTCTAGGGACAAGAAATACTCAGAGGTGAAAAAACAAAAGTAACTTACTTTCAGTCATGATGTGCCTTTCAATAAGTGCAAGACAAGAGCTGAGGAGCCACACGGTACTCCCCAACACCCACAGCAGAGCTGAACCACACCACTGCTCGTTTGCTCACTGAAGAAATCTCACTCATTGCCAGGGGTGGGATCCTGACTGGCATCGGAATTCTGAGGGGAACCTCCTGGCAAAGCACATTCCAGAGGACACATGGGTGTGCATCATTTCACCTCTCAGCCTGACCCACAACTGTGCTGGGGCTGTTTCCAACAGGAAAGTGGGTTCACAGCTCTTGCTCCTGCTCCTGCTCCTGCTCACCAGACCTCCCCCCACAGAGGGAATCCAGGCCACGAGGCAGCTCGGCCAGGAGTCACAGCTTGGGCACCTGGAGAAGGGCCAGGTGGGAACAGCCAAAGAGTCACCAGAACATCCTGTCCAATGAAAAAATGACAGGGAGGAGGACAGCAAAGCCTGGATTGCTCAGAAATGGCTCCCTAGGCCAGATGAACGCTGAGGAGATGCCTTTAAATCCCCCTTCCAAGGCATTTTCCCCAGCTATCAACATGGAATTTACACAACAGTGATAATGTCACACTGCAGAAAACAAAATGTCATTTCCTGAGCAATGATGAACTGGTATTTGGAGTCTCCTCTGATACAGAGAAAACGAATGGTAATTTCCCTGGGAGCAGAAGCCCCCGAGCTCCTTCCCCTGCTGCTGCAGAGGGTGGATTGCACTGAGTTACAGCACAGACAGCAAAACATCATTTAACTCTTGCAAATGGATCCGTCCTTCAGGAGCTGCTTCACGGTAACTGAGCAGAGCGTGTCCCATTCACAGGGATCAGGCACTGAGCACGTCTCAATGAACAGCTCCTCTGGATGGAACCTCCCAGCCAGCAAGCTGTGTGTGCCTGGGACCAGGAAACCTTGAATTATTAACAAACCAAGCTACAAGATCGTAACGTGCCTCCATACAAGCAGTTGCCACAAAGCTACAGGCAGGAACACTTAGTGCTGACAATATTTAACACCCAACCTATGCTTCCAATGGGAAAATCACCCTGCAGTGAGGATCTCGTTTATACTGGCATTATCCAATATGAAACAAATCGCGTTATCCTCACTTTAGAGCAGAGGGAAAGGAGGTGGAGCCGTCAGCGGGCGCCACAAAGGCTCAGTTGGGATCACGTCTAGACGTGTGGTGCTGTGGGAGAGGCCCTCAGGCACCCGAGGCATCGGCCCGGGGGTGGCAGATGTGACAGGGGACCCTTGGGAGCCGCTCTGCTCCCTCTCGGAGTGACAGCTGGAGGCCACAGGAACACCCAGGGGCACCTCCGGCAGCTCCGCGCATCTGCCCGGGGCCGCCGAGCTGAGCCCGCGTGTGAGCCCGGCTCTGACCTCCCCTTTCCTCCTCCCGAGCACGGGATCGAGCACAAGGTTGGCTCTCACCAGACCACTGCCCATAACAAATGTGCGGCAAGGGCAGAGTGCTGGGACCGTGCCCATGTTTGCAGCAGAGGTTTAAAGGCATTTCGGACCTTCTCGCTGGGAATTCGTTGTTAAGCAAAGGCTTCTGTCCTAAAACCCCGGGAGCACACGCTGAGCCGGGGCCTGTGCCTGCCTGTGTGGGCTCACCCGCTGCAACCACGAGTCTGAAGACACGCGGGGGTTAAGGGTTCGGGAGCAGCAGGAGCCCAGGCCCCGGGTATCCCTGCACTGGAACCTGTGCCAATGCAGCAGGAGCCCAGATCCTGGTTATCCCTGCACTTTATTCCCTGCCAATGCAGCAGGAGCCCAGATCCTGGTTATCCCTGCACTTTATTCCCTGCCAATGCAGCAGGAGCCCAGATCCCTGATATCCCTGCACGGGAACCCATGGTGAGCTTCAGGATGATGTTACCATTCCCAGGCATGGAGTTGGCAATGGAATCTGGGCTGTTCTCTGCTCCATGCACTTCTCCCAGACTGTGGAGCCTGTGGGCTGCTCGGGTGCCCTGGCAGTGGAGAAAACAGAGTTATCAGCGCTGGAGCTGCCCTGGTGACCGTCACCGCCCCGTCCCCACAGGCTCGGGCACAGGGCAGCTCTGTGCCCGCTTTCCTCTCGCTCCAGACAAACAGCTTTTGTTCCCTCCCAGCTCCCACGGCAAACGCTCCATCCCTCCTTCCCCGGGCTGAGGTCAGAGCGGCAGCGAGGGGACAGCAAAGCCACCCTGTGACAGCCCCAGACAGACACCGCGCCGTGCCCGTGACAGGAGCGGCTCCTGCAGCCGCGGCTCAACTGGGGCAGCTAATGCAGCACAGTTCACCGGGCAGGCCCGCGTGCTCATCCATATGCAAACATGCAGATTTCCCCCCTCCTCGAAGTGCCACCCTTTCCGAGGCCTGACTTCCAAACTTTGTGGGTTTTCCCTTTTTTAATGAGATTGTTCTCGTCCCTGCACAGCAGTTCCCACACAAAAGGCACAGCTAGTTCCATGCCGACCCTTTTTTTCCTACTAAACAGAGTCAAATACATAAAAATTCCAAATTGTGGCTCTAAGACAAATCACTAAACATCCCTCTCCCTCCCTCCCATATTCTATTGCTGGAAAAAAAGAAGCCATCTCACTCAGACTGGAGTAATCCACTGGATTTAATAAGATTTTTTTTTTCTCCAGACCCCGAGAATGTCACCACAAATCCAAGTTCCATCCAGTATTTTTTGTGCCAAAGTCTCTCCTGGACGTTTATTTCAGAATGACCTTCACATTAAGCCAAAGCAAGAGCATTTTAAAGCAATGCAGATATCATTTCTTCAAAAGGAAATATCAAGTCTGATGCTCTGGAATCGACCACAGCCAGAACAGGGAGCTGTGACAGACCCCCACGACCAACACACGCTCAGCTTCCAACAAAATGTGCACTTTCAACACAATCAAAATAAAATAAAAAGCAGCAATAGAAACAGCTCCAGTACTTGGCATTTTTGGAGTGAATCCAGCGCTGGGATTGGAATATTCTGGAGACTCTGTTCACTACCAGGGATTTACTGGGTGGGCAGAGGCGCATGGGACTGACCTGAGGCATTCATGTGGGGGATGGCTCAGATCATTAATTGGGAAATAACACAAACAACAGGGAGCAGTGGGTGGGAACCCATTTCATTTTAATCCATTAATAGGAAATCACTGCAGTTTGGGAAGAGAGCAGCGAGGGGAAGGATTTTCCCTGCTTTCACTGGTGAAAGCTGTTCCCAAAGCACCACACGGGGTTAGAGCAGCATCACTTGTTTGGGACAGTGAGAACCACCCCAGTGCTGGGTATGAGTGGACTGCAGCCACCAGCCCTGCTTATCTCCAGGCTCCAAATGTCTCTCCCTCATACTTCCAGACATGTTTTCCACCCAGCTTCCCCACCACACTCACAGCTCACTCTGGCAGAGCCTCTGTGCTTCTCTTCAGGCCCCTGTTTAATTAGAGGAGCCCTATTAATGAATTTCTCTCACCTGCACAGCCCAGTCCCATCTCACAGGCCATCCCTGCCCACATCCACTTGCTCTGTACCTCCTGTGTCACCCACACTTCCTCACACACATCACCCTGGCACTTCACCTGAAATCAGTGGCTGCTGCTGCCAGGGGTTAGCGCTGGGCCAAGGGCTGGGCAGCCAGTTCCCTTCCCAGAGCCCCCACAGCCCCAGAGGGGCTCACACAGGGGCTGTGTGGGCTCTGGGCACTCCAGAGGCTCTCCAGATTGCTCAGGGATAGTCGGGACCCACGCCTGGCCTGCCTGGTGAGCCAGAGGGAGAACACACCAAAACAACTCAGCACTACAGCTATTTCCAGCAAGTGCTCGTGCAGAGGGGACAGCAAGGACATGCTCCTGTCCCTTGGTGGGAGTTTAACGAGGAGCCTCTGTGAGGGTGTCCTGAGGGATGGGAATGGAGCAGGGATTTATCTGAGCCTCACTCCTCACTCTTCCCAGGTTGCCCAGAAAAGCTGTGGCTGCTCCATCCCTGGAAGTGTCCAAGGCCAGGTTGGATGGGGTTTGGAGCAACCTGGGCTGGTGGAAGGTGTCCCTGCCCATGGCAGGGGGTGGCATTGGATGGGCTTTAGGGTCCTTTCCAACCCAAACCATCCTGTGATTCCATGACTCCCAGAGTCCTGCTCCTGACCCAGCTCTGACGAGGGACTGAGGGCTGAGGTAGCCTCAGAACACAACGGTCCTGCTTGCCCCCAAAATGCACTGAAAGGCCTGAAAACTTGACAGCAAAAAGGGAGAGCAGCAAGGTCCCGAATCCATTATCAACAGCACAGAAAGCAGAGCCATTTCTCAGCGTGTCTCCAGGACGGTCGTGGCTCCCTGCCAGGACAGAGCCGAAGGCACCGTCCCGCACTCCCCTCCCGCTCATTGGAAATTCCCGTTTAATGCCAAAGCCACGGAATGCCACGGCGGGCTGGGCTCTCAAGCAGAAAGCTAAATTGTACATATTGCTCTGTCTGAACTGAATCCCTTGGACAGAACAGGGGAAGAGGGCTCTGGGATAAGGCAGAATCACTGATATTCGGGAAGGGCCTTGTGGAACTCCCCCAGACTCTCCCGGGAGAGGGAGAGCAGAGCTGCCAGGGCTCCACCTGACCAGATTGGTTTGGCAAGGACAGGGATCCTCCCCAAAAGGTTCCACTGCCTGCCCTTGTTGTTACACAACAACAAGCCTCACAAGTTTCTCCTCCCATCAATATCACAGAAACACGTGGAATTACTGAATCCAGTCATTCCTATTCAAGTTTTTTTCGGATGTTTTGCAGGACTTTGAAGTGTCTCTTCCCTCCTGTTCCACAAAGTGTGCAGGGAGGTCTGAGCCCTCTCCACCTCTGGCACTCCTGCTCTCGACACACACATACACACATTTTTTCCTGGAAGTCATTTTCTACAGAGGGAAAAAAACCTGTGGGACATAGGAGTTTATGGGATGATACTTCCAGTTTGCCAGCAGTACATCATTTTAGTAAAGGGCAGAGTCAGGAGCACCAGGAACAGTTTCCCAAATATTTCCCCACCCAGGGGTTGCCCAGAGAGTGGAGGCTCCACTGTCTGCACGTTCAAGGCACTTCGGAAACGCAGCATAGAAAAGTTTTATAAAAAGTTTTACTCAGAAAACAAGGAAGAACAACGACATAACTGCTGACAACAATAATAAAATTAACAAAATGCTAATTAATGGCTACCCATGGCCTTGTCCTGGTCGATATAAAAAGTGTAACATCAGATCCAGTGTACAAATACAAAAAAAATTGTGCATAATAAATGTACTATAATACTGTACATACAGCATAAACCGTTCAATGAGAATGAATTAAATATACCTATTTGTCTCCTGACTTGGAAGACAAAAGAATAAAGTTCTGTAGTCCCAGAGTCAGTGTATAAACCCTCTCCAGGGGCTGCATCACTAGCCAACGGTATCCCTGAAAACAAGCAGAGTCAAATATTCCCTTAATGGAAGCCATTATTGACGGGGCTGCTGGTTATTATGATAAACTAGGAGAGAAAACCACAGTACATCAACTCAGCCAACATTAAATCCAGACCGAGTTCTTCCCATCTCCTGACTTGCTACTGGCACTGCTTTTGTTTGAGCCTGCTTTGGACTTCTTCCCTCTGGAACTGCCGGGGTTGTTTTGGTTGTTGTAGGCCTGGATGGCGAGGTCCAGGCGGTCCTGAGCCACTTTGATTTCCCTCTGCAGGATCTCCAGGTCGGTGGGGATGTTGCCCTCGGTGCTGCCGTACTGCTGCTCCTGAGCTATGTTGGCTTTGTTCTGCTTGTAGGCCATCTTGGCGTTGGACAGCTCCGTGCACGGCATCTGCTCCGGCTTCAGGGCGATGTTGTACCCGGGGGGAGCCGACGGGGTGTTCCAGGTGAACGGGTAGTTGAAGGTCCCAGAGTCCGCCAGCTCCTTCCTCTTGCTGTTGAGCGTGTCCCGGATGGTGCCCAGCCCCAAGTGCAGCATCTCCCAGACGTTCAGGAGCAGGCACATGCAGCTCACCCCGTACATGATCAGCAGGAAGATGGTCTTCTCGGTCGGCCTGGAGATGAAGCAGTCGACCCTGTGCGGGCAGGGCTTCCTGCTGCACACGAACACGGGGCTCACCTGGAAGCCGTACAGGAAGTACTGCCCCACCAGGAAGCCGACCTCGAACAGGGCCCTGGCCAGGAGCTGCAGCACGTAAATCCTCATGAGCCCGTCCTCCCGGATCTGCCGCCGGCCGTCGTGCTTGGCCTTGGCGGGGCTCTGCTTCTCCTTGCTCTCCCGGACACTCTCCACCTCCATCTCCGGGTACATCATCGGGTCCTCCTCGTGGTCGCCCTCGGCCTCCTCCAGGCCGCGGTGCTGCTTCCAGCGGGTGGGCAGGCTCCTCCTGCGGCCCCTCCTGCCGGCCTCGCCGTGCTCCACCAGCCGGGCGATCTTGTGGATGGCGTAGCCCAGGTACAGCACCGAGGGAGTGGCCACCAGGATGATCTGGAAGACCCAGAACCTGACGTGGGAGAGGGGGGCGAAGGCGTCGTAGCAGACGTTCTCGCAGCCCGGCTGCTCCGTGTTGCACACGAACTTGCTCTGCTCGTCGTAGTAAATGGACTCTCCCCCCACGGCAATCAGGACAATCCGGAACACAATCAGCACTGTCAGCCAGATCTTGCCAACAAAGGTCGAGTGGTTCTGGATCTCCTCTAACAGGCGGGTCAGAAAGCTCCAACTCATGGTGGTCAAGTGAGTTTATCTAAAAAAACAAACAACCCCCCCAGATTTTTATCAGTTTATCAGCTTGAGCCCAAGCAGTGCAAACACTCAACCAAGAGAGTCTGAAAACTCCACACTTTTACACCCAACACCCACCCACGTCTGTGACATCACCTGTTATCGGGATCCAGCTGCCAGAACTTGCTTGAAGATCCTACGTCTCCTCCACAGGCCTTTGGGGAGTCTGCTGGGAGAAGAAGTAGCAGTTTAGTGACATTTCACAAAAAAATGTGCTCCCAAAGCTACTCTCCAGCCAAAGAGAGAGACACACGTGCTCTGTAAGGCACCACTTCAGAGGAAAGATTTTTTTTTTAATACTTGATCTAAACCTACTCTCTCTCAGTGGGAAGCCATTGCCCTGTCCCTCCAGGTCCTTGTCCAAAGTCCCTCTCCAGCTCTCCTAGAGCCCCTTTAGGAACTGGAAGTGTCTTCTCTTCTCCAGGTGAACCCTCCCAGCTCTCCCAGCCTGGCTCCAGAGCAGGGGGGCTCCAGCCTTGTGAGGGTGGGGAGGTCCTGGCACAGGTTGCCCAGAGAAGCTGGGGCAGCCCCATCCCTGGAAGTGTCCAAGGCCAGGTTGGATGGGGCTTGGAGCAACCTGGGACAGTGGAAGGTGTCCCTGCCCATGGCAGGGGGTGGCACTGGATGAGTTTTAAGGTCCTTTCCAATGCAATCCTATGATTCCACGACAAATTTGCAACCCTAACAATAAAAAAACCCCATCCATGGAAACTCTCATCTGGCAACACTGCAAAAAAAACCCCCACCAACCTTCCAAGCCCACGTGGAGCTCCAAGGAGTGAAAATGGTAACACATGGAGCACTGGAAGAGCTGTTGGACACCGTTATAGCACAGGAGATGAGACATTTTTCAGAGCTTTGTTGATGTCAAATATCAGTTTGTCAAACATTATCAACAGAAACTTTTACAACAGAACATTTGGTGAAAGATCCTAAACCCAGAACTGGACAAATCTCCAGCACTCTGATCTTAAAAGGGATTTATTCTTAACCTGGAGAAATTTCAGGAGACTGGAAGAAAACTAGGAACTATTCAACTTCTTTCACACAACCAGAGTTGTTCACAAGCAAAATACTGAAATGTGAGGAGATGCAATCAATGCAGAATTAAAGGATGTAAATGTAACCCTCCTCTGGTGGAATTCAATGTGTTTAGCCAACAGGAGGGACAGGGTGTGGATGGGCTGTGCAGGACATTTGATCTATCACTTCATGGCACTGAGAGAAAAAAATAGCACAGGAGAGTATTAAAAAAAGACCACATTAAGTGGACCAAAAGTAGCCAAGGTCTTGACAAATGATTCCCACATTAGATTCAAGATCAGTCCCATAATGCACAGCCAGCCAGGCCTGGCAGGCAGGCTGGATCTCCCCAGGCTCGGCTGGGAAGTGGCTGCTGACAAAATGGGCACATGGACACAAGTTTGCAGGCTTAGAACTGGAGATGAGCTACCAGTGAAACAGGAAAACATGGATTGCTGGAGAGGCTGGAAGAGATCCACTGCTTAAATGACGCTCAGTGCAAAGCTGCAGCTCAGAGCAGCACAGGGAGAGGGAGGCTGCCGTGGCTGTCAGCTCACAGGGAAGGGAGGGCCCTCAGGGGTAAGGGTCTCAGTAAAAGCTGGTGATGCAGTGAAGGTTGAGGGTGTGAGCCCTGGCTGTGTCACCTGCAGCCAGGAGCAGGGAGGGTGAGCTCACCTCCTTGTCAGCGAGCCAGCCCTCGGCGCCCGCGGCCGCATCCTTCAGCAGTTCCTCAGACATCAGAGGGCCAACACGGGGGGCTCACACCCAGCTGAGGGACGGGGAAGGTGCCTGAAAGGGAGGCATTTAGAGAGCTCAGTTTGTTTAGCTGGGAAAAATGGGAAGAAAATGGAAGGAATTACAGATGAATATTAATACCAACAGGCTCAGGATCATAACTGTCATCAAAATTATCAACTAAGACAAAAATCACTGGCCTTGACTCAGGTGGACAGGTCACCTGCACTTAACCCTGATAAGGGCCATGTATAAATTACAAGTGATAGATAGCAGCTATTAGAGGTGCATGCAATCCTGCAAAGGTTTCCACCAGAGTTATTCCTCCTACACAACACTGTGTGCCATAGAGAACTGGCAGAAATAACACGTTTTTAGCAGGAAAAAAAGAGGAGAGGTTCCAGTCCCAGTGCAGACCCTCTCTGCACCCCTATTTCAGAAAGACATCTAAGGCCAGCTCTGCCTCTCTGAGTTCTGCATTAGTGGGACAAGAGACAGTGCTTCAGACACCCCCACGCTCAGCATTTCCCACCTGGATTTGGGGGCAAACGGGACAGGCACGTTCCTGCTGACATGCCATGATTTGTCAACTAAAAAAGGAGACAAAACCCAAAGGAGTTTAAGAAGGGGTTAATTCTCTCTCACTGAAAACATTAGGGCTCCGAAAATAAACTACTAAGTAAATTTTAAATTAATTAAATGCTGTTGCCAATGTAAATTTGGAATAACAGCAGGAACCAGTCTTTAAATCCTCAGATACTGTCACATTCAGTTAACAGCAGAGAAGTTTGAAATGAGTGCTGGTTTCAGTAAGAGAGTCTTTACTTTTAGACAAGCTGCTACCTTATCATCAAGGAAACCCCTTTGTGTCATGTGCCAGCTTTTCATGGTGTGTCTTCTACCTGCAGACACATTCCTGAGGCTGGGCTGTTCCTCAGCAGCTGTAAAGAGGGAGACACAGGGATCATCCCTCGGCCACCACTCAGCCACTGGAGGGCATGAGGCACCTGGGTCATTTTGGGACTTGTCCAGGAGGATTCCCAACCTGGACCCCACCAGTTATAACAATGCACAGAGTGCCAGAGCCTCTGTGCACAGACCCTGCCCACACAGACGTGTGTGCTGGGGTTCCCTCCAGCCCTCGGCTGCAGTTGGCATTATCTGACCCTGGTTAATGGCCAGGACCTCTGTCAATTAGCAGGTCCTGGCTGTGGAGCTGCAAAGCTGCTGAAGAGCTGATTCTCTTCCCAATAAAGTGGGAAGGACTAAATTTAGTCCTAGTCCCGAGCAGAGTGGTGGCATGAACACGGGAGGACCCACCAGCAGGCAAAGAACTTCCTTGTCTTTAAGGAAACATTTCGGCCCAAGCAAAATGACCAGTCATTAAACTCTGCTCTCCCAGGTTCAGTCTATCCCAATTAAATGCCATGCAAAAACAAGACTTTACAAGCAGAGTTATGGCTTGGAAGTGGTGTTATCCTTCAGTTTTGTGGGATCAGCCAAGGTTAGAGAAGCACGTTCTGCCTTTGCACCACGTGCTGCAGCACCCAGACACATCACAGTAACCTTCACCCAACCTACACTCGTGTCTCCTGCCTCTGTGGTTCTGGCAACATTTAACTCAATAATTTTCCAATGTTTGAAAGAAAGGTTTATGGACACTGACACGCATGCCAGAAAGGCAAAATGTCAGCAATTTCAGCTAATTTAAGTCATGCCAGAAAGTGCATTTGAGGGAGATTTTCATTCCCTGTATTTGTCATAAATTCATTCCAGCACTTCCAGCAGAGGAGGCTCCTTGGAGCGGGCAGGATCCACAAACACCAGACACTTATCTCTGACAGCAAACTGGCTCCTGAATTAAAGCTTTGCAGGTGCTGACATCCAGAGACAAAGAAGAGGAATTTGGACCAGGTACATGAGAAAAGAGAAATCAGCTTTCCCTGCAGAAAAGCTCTGGAGCTGTTCAACATGGCTGTTGTTCAGGTACAGCCAGGGAACAGTCCCCCAGGTGTGCCCTGTCCCCTCCCCAGCCCAGGGTGGGCTTTGGGCATGAACTGAAACATTTCAGATGCTCCAGCCATGTCCCCATCCCGCTGGGATGGAGGCACCTGGAAGGCAGCGCCACACACACCAGATGGGGGTTAAAACCAACCTCACTCCAGGCTGTCAAATCCCAAACGCCCTCAGAGCCATCTCCTGATCTTGTCCCAGCACAGCCTGGGTCCTAGCCCAGTATAAACTGGATCCCTGATCCACTCCCAGAGCAGACTGGACCTCAGCTCAGCACAGACTGGATCCTGTGGCCACGTGTCAGTAAAGACTGGCCCATGTCCCAGTACAGACTGGATGTCCTGGGCTCCATCCCAGTACAGACTGGCAGCTGCAGCCCAAAGCACCTGAGCAGGAGGGTGCAGGGAGTTGTGTTGGTTTGGTTCAGCATTAGGCAGTGCTGTGAGGATCAGGGAGTTGGACTGGATCATCCTTATGGATCCCTTCCAGCCCAAGCTCTTCTGTGATGCTTCTCTGACACCAGGATTCACTTCCTGTCATTCCCTGTCATTCCATCAACAGTGGGGCTGGGCACAGCCTCAGTATGTCCATGGATGGCACCACAGTTCACCAGCACCTCCTCAGAAAGGTTTGTCTGCAGGAGGTTTTGTAGCCCTGAGGCAGTTGTTAAGGAGAATCAATATATTTAGAGAAGACTTTTCTCCCCCTTAGAATATGTCCTCATGGGTCATGCAAATGAAATTTGATTAATTTATTAGTGATTTATTTGTTTTGGTTTGGTTTTAAGCAGTTTAAAAAGACATGTGCTGAGCAAGAAAAAAAAGAAGAATAAATGCATAGCAATTCTGTTGTTAATCAAAAGAGGTTTCATGCTGCATGAAAGTGAAATTGGGCCCACAGGCTAATTAAAATAGGATTTGAATTAGGATGAATGAATAATTAGCATTATTCATTCAAATCTCATTTACATTGAAAAGTAAGAAACTACATGATTTACAAGTACTTTTGAGGAAGCAGAGAAGTTCCCTTTTGGTTTTTTTAACCTGGAAAATGAGTAAGACTTTAATTGCTCGAGAAAGGAGAGAGCTGGGCTCAGACCCAGCACCAGCGAGGGACCAGCACATCCCAAATCCTGGCGAGCACTGTGCTGATGCCACCTGCATTCCATGAGCAGCAATTCCAGTGTCCATCCTCCTAAGTGACACAAGGGCGAGGATGTGGGGGTATTCCCAGGAATACCTGGGCTAAGACAACTCACAGCCATCACCCTTCTATCCTTTGTGAAGGAACTGGGCTCAGTCACTACCAACTTCCCTCCTATTTTCGGCAACACAGATTTCGGCAAAAAGAATAAGAAAATTGTACTGAGTTTTATTTTTGATCTTACAGAGCACTTGGGAAGGAAAAAGGCTGGGACTTTTTGGAGAGCACACAGTGCTCTTTCAAACAAATCCTCTGTCAGCTGGCAGGGCTCACGTGGCAGCAGCAGAGAAGGGTTTGGAAAAAGCCACAATGTCAATGTCAATTTGGAAACCATTTCTGAACGGTGCCTTCCAATCCCAGGCAGGATAACAAGGCTCTGCTGATCCCCAGACCAACCCCCCGAGCCTGAAAACCCCCCGTTGAATCCCGAGACCACAGATCCAACGCGGGATATAAATAGAACAGGAAAATGTGGGTAAGAGGTAGGGATATAATAAGATTCTTGCGCTGTCAAAAAAATAAAGATGTCAAGAACGTCTCTCTTTGAAAATCAACATATACCCACCCGAGCATTCAGCTCACAGATAAACTGGAATTTGCAGCTCAGACATGAACCTCCGGCCGCCTCGGCGTGCCCTCAGGTACTGCTAACATGGGAAGCCAAGTGACAATTTTAGCAACACTCCCCCGCAGTGACAAAATTCAAATGAAAATCACGACGTGTTTCGTGCTGGCCCAAACCAGCTCTTACTGCACCTACAGCAACCACAGTGCTCTGGGAAGCCTCGTGTCCAGGGCAGGCCCCCCGGAACACGCGGATCCCAGCTTGGAGGAGCAGGGTCCGTGAGGACAGGGCGAGCTGTGAGCCTGACTCGAGGCTCCATGGAAAATGGAGGCTGGGCTGTACAGCCTCTGTAGCCCCCTGAGATTCTGGAGACCTGTGGCGGGGTCTGTGTCAGCCTGAATCCCTTCACACAGCTCGGCAATCAGAGTCCCTCTGAACGACGGGAATGAGCTGTACCAGCTCAGAGCCGGGCACTTCTGCAAGGACTCGGGGCGGAGCTGTGTGACACCCAGCAAGCCCGAGGCTGCTCCTCACACCTCTGCTGCACACTCCAGGTATCAGGAGGCAGAGGGAGCCCCAGGTGCCTCTGCCAGCACTGTGGTGATGTGAAATGTAATAAAGGAGAGAACCAAGCGGTCCCAGACGCCGTCTGACAGCCCGCAGGGGAACCCTCGCTCACACCAACGTGGCATCGTGCCAGACCTCGGGACCAGCACCGTGCCAGGACGGAGCTTGGGGCAGCAACATCCCCCCTCCTTCACAACCCGCTGGTGGATGAGGAATAACCCAGCAAGGGAAGGGCTGCTGGAGCTCAGAACCAACCCGGCGTCTCCAGAGCTCTCCCTCTCTCCTCTCACCTCCTCCACCCTCACACACCTCACAACATTTCTCCAGCACAGTCCAGAGCTGAAGGGCCTGGAGTCTCCTCCACACTCCCTGTCTCCCAATAAACCTAGTAAATGTAAATATGAAGGAACAGAAATCCCATGTGATCCCTGCTCAAAACCAGCTCAGGAATGTGCAGCTTGTACCACAGATCATATCCCCCAGCCCCTAAGAGGGAGTGGCTCATTCATCCCTGTGGAGGAGCTGGGAATGCACAGGAAAACTCTTTCCCTGTGTCTTTCAGTTGGATGTTGAAAACAAGGAATTACAGGGTAGGTAAAGAACAATTTTTTTTCCAAGATTTTGAATCTAAAGTTCAAGCCATACTAGAGAAACCACCTGACACTGCTGTTCTGTTTAACCAAATCCTGAGCTCTGGGACTGCCAGCCCAGGCTGTCTGCACACAACAGGGCCAGGGCCTGCTGTTTGCACCCTTAAAATCTAAAGATGTGGAGGACATCCTCGAGACAGAGTGTTCCTACCAGCTGAAATGACCATCAGGTCGGGTGAGTGTGGCCTCAGGTGCACACAACACTCCCAACT